ATATGCTCGCAAGGTTGTTAGAAGCATATAAACAGCTAATGGAATGAGATATGAGAAATGAATTACATGAATTTATGTATGATAATCCATTTATTAAATGACTGCTAGACATTTTGATGACTAATGAAATCACATATTCCAGCTGAAAAGGCTCCAATAAGAAAATGTGTCCTAACATGATGATCTATGAGTCTATGACACACTAGAGACGTGATAGACCATTTTGGTTTCAAAAGAATCCTCGAAAAGGAGAAAATATATAAATAGAGGATAAATCTCATGATGAGACCGTTGATATGGTTAACTTGTAGTCAAGTACCTGAGTAAATCATCGACGATGATAAACAGATCTCGATTAACAATATCAGTACGGGTAAAAAGATGGAACAAAAGAGAAAATAGTTTGCCGACAATAAATAAGAAAGCGCGCCATATAAATGAGGATTATGAATCTACCTCTGCGTATGAGTGTAGAAAGAAATGATTGGCCAAAAGTGAAATAAGGGAATCAAGTTGATATTCGTTACGAAAACAAGAAAGTTTTAGACTAGAAGTCCAAGCATCTAAAAGGTATATAGTTCTCCAAATAATGAAATAAAAGATGACCTTGAAGTATGAAAAATGGATTGTTCCAAAGTCACATGAGAAATTTTAAAATAGATGCAATATATTGATATGTCTAGCAGGACATAGACGAATTGAGTTGCATCTTAATATTTAGTAGTCCCTGGAGAATTAATAATGTATATAAGGTATCTTGAACCGGTAACTAGTGATAAGTTTATGGCGCGGTTTGCTGATTGCCATTTTAATGAGGAGGAATTTCCAGCGTTAGGGAGAGGAATTAGGGAAATTCCTATAGAAATTACATAGTGTACATAGTCGTTGTTACATATTGATCACCTACAAATTAAAGAGAGCTGAAAGTTCAGAAAATTGTGTATTTACATAATTTGGCAACCTAGTTACCAGATGCGTTTAGAGATATGAGAAGGGTGACATGACGAAATCATATATACCCGCTGAAAATGTTTCATCAAAATTTGTTGTTCTTGAAGAATAAACTGATGAAACAAAATAAATGAATCTAGGATTCAGTTAAAGAGGGGGATATCAGCGGGTTGTAAAGATAAAACAAAATTTCAAAAAAAAAAAAAAATTTGGTCGAGCAAAATGGAAAGGCTCCAGAAGAACCTGATATTGAGAAATATCTGAAAAATGCAGAAATAGAAAGGTTTTAAAAGAATCTGATACTGAAAAGATGTATGAAAGAAGACATAAATGTAAAGGTTAAAAAAGAACCAAATAAATCTAAGCCTCCATATGACAAGAAGGGAACATAAATTTATGAGATTTCCATCAACTAAGCCTGTGTTGAATATTATAAGAAAAAAAATGTTGATGGAATGTTCTCCTTTTCTGTGTCCAAAGAAATCGATTATGAAAATGATGATTCCAATCCACGGTCCATTCTGGAATGTCTTTGGACCTGTAGTCATACGTTTGAGAATATAAATCCTATTGGGTGTAAGTGGGTATTTGTGAGAAACGTAAATGAGAAGAATGAAGTAACATGATATAAAACCCAATTAGTTACATAAGTTTTTTGAGGAAACGTATTTCCCGTAATGGATGCAATTACGTTTAGATTTTTGATGAGGTTAACAGTGTCAAAAAATCTTGAAATGCATCTTATGGACGTTGTGTCTGCATACTTGTATGGATCATTGGATAATGATATATACATAAAACTCCCTGAAGGATTGAAAATGCCAGAAGCATTGAAAGAAAAATCTAGGAAGATTTGTTCGGTCAAGTTACAGGGATCACTATATAGATTAAAGCAATCCAGACACATGTGGTATAATCGTTTAAGTGAATATCTCTTGAGAAAAGAATATGTTAATAATGCGATATATCCATGTGTTTTTAATTAAGAAATCGTCATCTGGCTTTGTGATCATTGTTGTATATGTTGATGACCTAAACTTTTTACTAAGATTGATGATGCACAAACTCATATGAAAGAAGAGTTTGAAATGAAAGATCTCGGAAAGACAAAGTTTTTTCTTGGGCTCCAGATTGAGCATCTCCAAGAAGGTATATTTGTGCATCAATCAAACTATACGAAAAGGTTATTGAAACGCTTTTGTATGGACAAAGCAACTCATTTGAGTACTCAAATGATTGGTAAATCTCTCGATGTGAGAGATATCCTTAAATCTTGTGAAGATAGCGAAAATATATTAGGTTCTGAAATACCTTATAAGAGTGTTATCGGTGGGTTGTTATATCTTGCAAACTGTACCAGGCCTGATATTGCCTTTGCCACTAACCTACTTGCAAGATATAGTTGTGTTCCTACTCATGGGCATTAGAACGGAATCAAGCACATTTTCTGTTACCGTCAAAGTACAATTGATTTAGGGTTAATGTATTTTAGAAAATTCGAGTTTGGTATAGTTAGTTTTGCAGATGCAGGATACCTATCAGATCCTCATAAAGCTCGATCGCAAACCGTGATCTCTTGGCGTTCCCAAAAGCAAACTCTGGTTGCAACATCTTCAAATCATGCAGAAACTATTGCGCTTCATGAAGCATGTCGAGAAAGTGTGTGGCTTAGATCAAGGAGAATACACATACAAGAAACAAGCGGAAGAGTAACCAAGAAAAAAACGACCAATGTCTTTAAAGATAATTCAGTGTGGGTTGCTCAACTTAAAGAAAACTATAATAAGAGTGAAGCACATTCCTCCAAGATTTTTTCTCGTACACACGGGAGCTTGAGAAAAATCAAGAAGTGTACATCATGTATGTACGGTCATGCGACAATTCGGTTGACCTATTCACAAAAGCTCTTCCCACTACAATATTCCAAAAACACGTGTACGATATCAGCATGCGTCATTTCCGTGATTTATGAAAAAAATACTATGTCCATCATTCTGAGTGAGGAGAATATGTTAGTGTATTTTTTTCTCCTTATCATGGTCTTTATCTCAAATAAGTTTTTCTATGACTAGGTTTTTATTGAGGCACTACGTAATATAAGATGAATAATCAAGTAGAAGTGTTATAGATGTGATTATTCACTTCTAATGGACTATGACCTAACCTTATGAAGAGGTCACAAGATCATCAACGCACACATGTCCTTATCACTTAAATGAAGAGATCCATGTATATAATATCATCCACTATAAATAGATGAGATGGATTGTTAATCATATGTGAAGATATACAGAAAAATCATAAAGCTTTTGATAACTCTCTATGTTTCCATTTGTTTATAACATATAAGATAGTATAATATATATACAAGCATAATTATATATATATATATATATATATATATATATTACCTTATACACAATATCTTGTTATATAAAGTAGACTTTTCTCTCAAATGAGAATGCCATGTCACTAATTCATCTATTTTCAACATGACATGTGTCATGGTTCTTGGTTAATCTTTTGACTTTTCGTTGGTTTGTCAGTTCATCATTTAATTATGGATTTTTATGGCATCATTCAATAAATCCCACTTTTGTACCTATTTACTGCAATATGTGTCCCTAAAAATATTATATATAACGTTTTGGTTAATCAAAAGTATCTGCAAAATTTTTTACATCTAGTGTTTATTATTTTCACCGAGGTTGTTTAAAAATATACTTAGATACTTTTGATTAACAAAAATGTATTTGGCATCAACTAATGATGAACAAAGTGAATCGTAACTGAAAATTAGATAAAGAAACCGTATTGTAGCCTCGATCGTCGCCAACTCAGTTGTACGCATGAAGAACCGAAACGATTCCTAAGATTTCTGACAGGAGGAGAGCCACCGCGAGTGGTCGACATAACCCATCTATCGAATATAAAGAAATGTATAAAGGGCTTTAGAATGGTATGATCATATATTTTGTTAACTTTATTGAATATAGTTATTTAATACTAACATTTAAATTAAAACCCAATTCAAAGAAAGACTAAAAATCAACAATTACTGGTTCTGGATTACTTAGAGTAATAAATATTATAGTTCTTTTATTGGAAAATAATAATTTTTAAAGTTACAAATAAAAGTAACAAATGCGGGTTTTATAGCTCGATCTCTTTCATTAATAAATCATTCATTTCTTTTGCAAACTATAGTTTCTTTTTAAGTTCTGTATTTATTTACAAAAACAAATTAGATAATGTATTTTCATTAAAACTATATACTACTCCCTCCATTTCTTATTTTAAATAGTAATATTTTTTTTTTTTTCAAAATATAGGTAATTTTCTCACATCTAGGTAACTTTTAGATGTACTAGATATAACGTGACCAATCAAATAATGTCTATTTTTTATAATTAGTAATTTTTATTAATTAATACTCTGTTCTAGAAAATAACAACTTTCTTAATATTAATGTTTTTATTTTAAACTATTATGAAACGGAATAAGTAATACTGTATGTAAATGTTTAGAAAAATTTCAGTGACAAAAGCAAAACTTACTTTATCATATTTTGTTAATTTTTAGTACAACTTTAAAACCCCTGAAAATAAGTAAAAATAATAAAACATGCCATTTGGATTTCAATTCAAATTAGCACTATTTTATTACCTCTTCCAATAAAATATGAACACTATCATCATATAAATTTAATAGTCCAACATTTCACAATTTTGCTAAAGTCTTAGCACAAAATAGACACAAAAATAAATAATTGAAAATATCAAATGTTTATTAGAATTTGAAATTCTTTTCAATTACTTATGACAGAGCGGATTTTACCCTAGTATATATATATATATATATATATATATATATATATATGTGTGTTTTTTTCTTGACAACTCTGAAGCTATCGACCCCATTCGGGTGCTCTTAATTAGAATAAAATAATATTTTTTGGTAAAAAGATGAGAAGAAAAAAAATAAATAAAGTGGGATTCTTGTATTCTAAAACCAAATTAGACGGTGTCTTTACAAAACAATTGGGTATTCGGGTCCACCCGTAATTGTCTTACTGGACTTGTTGAACTTTAGTCACGAGTAACTCGCAACTCTTTGTCTTCGGTCGTGTTTTATAATTTGCTTCGAGTTTTTTTTAGATCAATCGGGAAAGATGGGAAGATCTTTGACAAAGAAGGTGTTTCTGATTCAAAGCCCGATCCTGTTTCTCCACCTCCTCATCTCCTTCTCATCCGGTTAGTACCAAAAAAGCTTAGGGTTCTTCCTTCTTGTTTACATTCCCATTTGATCTCTTTGTTAGATTTCAGAAAATGGGTATCGTAGATATCAGATTCTATCACTCAAAGTCTCAACCTTTTTCGTTTTTTTCGTATGAATCATCTTTACTCGTGTATGCAATCCAGATTGGTTAGAAACTGAGTTTTACAGTTTTGTTCATCAGCTTTATTGTTATGCCAGCTTCATTTTGTGATTCATCTATTCATGAAAAGATATTAAAACTATTTGCAATAAAGAAAGCTTATCAAAGTTGTTCAATGCTCTGTTTTTGGGTTGCTTAAGAATGGTTGTAGAACAAATGATTTTCAGGAGCAACGAAACCGTATTCGAGAGGAGTATGCGTTTCTAAAGGAGGGAGGTTTCCGCCTTATGAATCACAAGGAAAGCCTCCAAAATCCGTTGGTAGAGGATCAGATGACCTAACTCTATGTCAAGTGTTCCGTAAAAAGACATGTTGCTCTCCTGCTCAGACAAACCTTGCTTTCGTAGCTGTCAGAAACTTGGCTACTTATGGAGAAGCTAGTGAAGAATGTCTGCATTTGTTCGAGTTGTTGGAGTGTTCAATCTGTAACCCTAACGTTGGAGTTCAACCAGGTCCTCCTCGCATTTGCGCTTCGTTTTGTAACAAAGTCTTTGAAGCTTGCAAAGACGCATACTTCGCCAGTAATGCCCATACACAGGTGAGATAATCCTCAAGGAAAGTGATTAAATGGTTTTGTGGGATCTTATGTTTTTTTACATATGTGCTTAGATGATTGGCCCCTGTGGAGGAAACGAAATCATCTGCGTTAAAACGTCAAACTGGGTGTCCAATGGCACATCGTTCTGCGAGGCAGCTGGTTTTTCTGTTCAAAGAAATGATGATTCTAGAAAAGAACCGTGTTATGGAAGTAAAGCAAGTCTAGAACCGGTGGTGGAGCCACGGCCGAGAAGAGTCTCCAAAAAGAAGAAGAAGAAGAAGAAGACCCCTTTGAAGACTGAGACTCTATCATGTTTTAAAGATCTTTTGCATTGGGTTCGAGTAATGACGACGATTCAGAAGGTTTCGTTGGGAGTGTCATTTCTTGTAGCAGGAATGTTCTTGATCAGGTTTTGGTCTCTCTCTCTTTCTCTCTTTTTCTCTCTCTAAATAAGCAACACCTCATTGTACTAATGCTTGCTTTAGGTGGAACAGGCGATGGAATAAAGGTCACCAGAAGCAGAGGCTAGCTGCAATCCAGAGAGCTGCTAGACGATTGGGAGGGAAGGCAAACGGGAATTCATACAGTGCAGCTGTAAATAGAAGAGTAGTTCAAAGTTGATTTCTTTTCACCAATGAACAAGCTGAGTAATGGCAGGGATATTTTACTGCAGTAGTTGCAAAAGCCATGAATTTAAAGTGTTGCCAAATGCGAGAGTACTATGTTTTACTGTTTTGTATTGTTATTCTGAGAACAACACTGGAGAGCTTTTAAGATGGAAGAAAGCGTAGTACATTGATGATATGCAAAAGGGTTTGTAGAACAAGAAATAGTAAAAAGCAAGTACTAAAAATCTAGGGGAGACACTCTTAACTTAAACTAAAAGGGTTGAAAGAAGAAAGAAAAGGAGACTATCAAAGAGGTACAAATCTCCAGAGGCAGAAGACAAGATCATTCTGCATCTATACACAAGTGTGTTTTTTGCTTTCACTCTTTTTTGTACAGAAGTTGTTTGGGGGCATGATTAAGGACCCTTGGGGTTCGTCACTGCATTCAAACCATCACTGAAGCCACACACAGACACAGTTATAGTGGAAGTCCAAATCTTGAGCCTAGCTATGGAATAGTTATCTTAAGTGTGAAGACTAAGACTTCCCCATTTTCGGTACCTGATAAAGAGAAAACATATTGAAAATAGTTAGTAAAACGTAATGACATGGTCCAACGAATAAATTTTTTTTATCCTTTCAGAAGATTTCAAGTTTTAGCTGAAAAATGGTGTTCTTGGTATAAACAAACCTTCTTGAAAGGTTGACCGCTGCTAGAAGCTGAGGCGGGTTTCATAATCTCAAAGGAACAAACAAGAGACTCATCCACGCTCAGTAATGCACCAGCGTTGTCAAACTCTCCACCATAGTTTGGAGCTGAAAATATTGTCACTAATCTCCTTTTCGCGAAAAACTCGTACCCATCTTCCACTACCTACAACACAGAAAAACATCACACATGAGCCAATATATGGTATAACCAGAAGCTAAATCTCAAATCAAACTTTCACAGGTTCCAGTTTTGTTTGTTTTTCTACCTGATGGCCTCTGCAAATGAGGTCAAGATCATTCTTATCCAAGAACTCAGCGACTTTATCAGCTCCAAAAATACAAGAAATGCCTCGATCACTATCAGCCCACCCTTCAATCTTCTGATCAGGATCAGACCAAAGCAAATCACAAAGAAGACCACTGTCTGGAATCTCTGTAGGCCTCTCAATCTCTCGAATCTGATTCAAATTGTCCAACTCTGGTGACAAGCCACCATGCATACACAAGATCTTGTCGTCAATGAGTGCAGCTACGGGCAAACAGTTGAAACAATCAGTAAATATCTTCCAAAGGCGTACATTGAATCTCCTTTTGCACTCGTCGTAGAATCCGTAAATCCTGTTGATCTTAGCGTCCTCGTGGTTGCCTCTCAAGAGAAAAATCTTTGATGGGTAACGAATCTTGTAAGCAAGAAGAAGACAAATGGTCTCGAGACTTTGCTTGCCTCTGTCAACGTAATCGCCAAGGAAGAGAAAGTTAGCTGAAGGAGGGTATCCTCCGTATTCGAATAGCCTCAGAAGATCTTGATACTGCCCATGGATATCACCTGAGCTCCCCAAAAACGAAAGAAAGCGTTACCCAGATGCTCAAATTGAACGAGAAACCCAAAAGTTTAATACTTTCAAACCCCCAACTATTAAACTAAATCATGAAGCGATGATGAGAGAGAGACATTACAATACCTAAATGCTCAAAATTCACAGAGAAGCCCTAAAGTTTGGTACTTCAACTCCCCAACTATGCAACTTTCACCATGAATCGATGATGAGAGAGAGAGAGAGAGAGAGAGATTACAATACGGTGATACTCAATTACACAGAGAAACCCTAAAGTTTGGTACTTTCACCCCCGAACTATGCAATTTAATCATGAATAGATGACGAGACAGAAAGAGATTACAATACCTTGATACACAAAATTCACAGATAAACCCAAAAGTTTGGTACTTTCACTCTCCAACTATGCAAATTCATCATGAATCGATGATGAGAGAAAGAGAGATCACAATACCTAGATGCTCAAATTCACAGAGAAACACTAAAGTTTGGTACTTTCACCCCCCAGATATGCAATTTCATCATGGATCGATGACGAGACAAAGAGAGATTACAATACCCAAATGCTCAAAATTCACAGATAAACCCTAAAGTTTGGTAGTTTCACTCAACTATGCAATTTCACAGAGATTACAATACCCAGATGCTTAAATCCACAGAGAAACCCTAAAGTTTGGTCCTTTCACCCCCAACTATGCAATTTCATCATGAAGCGATGATGAGAGAAAGAGATTTACAATACCCAAATACTCAAAATTCCCAGATAAACCCTAAATTTTGCTACTTTCAATCCCAATTATACAATTTCATCATGAGAGAGAGAGAGAGCGAGATTACCGCAGATGCGAATAGGGGCATGGAGCTCGAGGAGATTGGGTTGAGAGAGGAAGATTTGACGTGCGTTCAAACAGAGTTGACGAATCTCACTCTCGGATAACTGAACCTGTTTTCCTCCTTTGCCTTCCAACAATCTCCTGATGATATCATCTAACACTCCTTTCTCCACCATCCCTTCCATGCCCGTCATCATCTTCTTCTCACCAGAATCCAAAATTTATGACAAGGGTTTTTGCTCAGGAGCAGGCGAGGAATAAAGGGTTCAGATACCGATTAATAGGAGAAATCAAAGGGTTTTCTCCTTCGAATTTTCCCGGGAAAGAATGTGGGGAACATGCAAATGGAGGAGAGGTTTAGGGTCAAACAATGAGAGCACAGAGGAAAAATCTTTGTCTTGTTATTAAAGAGGATGAGAGGAGATAAGAACAGAACAATCTGAAAGAATGATTAAAATACGGAAAAAAATATTTTTAAAAAATCCTCAACTTTAAGGAGTGTGCTGAATATGAAATTGGAAGATGTCTGATTTTTAATGAGTCTTGATGTGAATATGAAAATGAAAATTTGGTGTGATTATAACTAGAAAGAACTCTTCTAAACATTACAGAAACACTTAGGGAGTGTATTGAATGGAAGACTTTAAGAGATTTTGAGATTTGGTTAAAATCTCATATTATTCAGGAAAATAATTTAAAAATCTGTTAGAATCACGTGTTATTCAATATGTGATTTATGAAAAGTCATTAAAATTCATTTTATTAAATTAAACTTTTTTTGGTAAAAACGGTATCAAAATCCACTTTAACCAGTCACATTATAAAAATCTATACTCTTTCTTATATGTTATGTTTTAAATTTTCAAAACGACTATAAATTATTTAAACTGTTAAAAATCTTACAAAGAAAATTTTTTGAACAATAATTTTACTTTTTGTTATAAAAAATAGAAATGATTATAAAATCATATGAAGATGAAATATCATTTAATATATATTCAAATTCAATATATATATATATATCATTTAAATAAACTATATATTATATAAAAATACAAATATATATGTTAATTTCTAAATGTGCATTAAAATATATTGAGGATTTAATATTTTATTTTTGAAATTTGCATTGAATTTTTAAAAAGATTATAAATTACTAAAACTATTAAAATTTGTGTGATTAAAAGTTTAAAATTTTTGTCACCCCAAATATACATATGCTAATAAAGTCATATGAATACAAACTATGAAGTTTCAATATGCATATTAAATTTAATATACATATATTAATATCACTTAAATTTAATTATATACCATATAAAATAAATATAATGATTGCTTTGATTTATGTGTGTTTTGATTTCTGTGTTTAATTATATACATCGATCCCCAACTATTCAATATATTTATTATTTCATAATAAACACAAAATAAATAATAAAATATAAAAATAATTTGTATATATATATGTTCATTTCATGCAATGTACATGTATGGATCTTAACCTAGTATTATATATTTAGTAAAAAGGCTTTAGTTTTTAATTTTAAAACTATCCTATTTTTTTTTAACAAACATTTTAAAACTGTCCTTAAATCTAATTAAAATGTGCTAAAACTATATATGAACTTAGTGCTTGAGCACCTTTGGAACATACCAAAAGTACTGGACATCTTATACAATAAAGTTGAATTTTCTCACTTCTTAAGCCTCCATATCAGCATCAGAGCATGGGGCAAAAAAGACACCTCATCAATTACTAATTTAAATCAAACCGGACAAAATTAAATCCTTGTGTCTTGGTTTCACTACAAGAGAACGTTGGCTTAACGACTACCATTTACGACCACAAAATGGTGGTCGTAATTTTACCTCTCCTTTACGACCACCGAACATCAAATGAATTAATGGTCGTAAAACCGAAGTACAATTGGGACCACAAAGGTTGGTCGTAAAGCAGAAGTAAATCAACGTCTAATTTACGACCAAGTGAAAAAGTAGTTGTAAAGTAGAAGTCAGTTGACTACGGAGTTACGACCAAATATAAAGCTTCGCATTAACTACCAAATTACGTAGACGTAGTAGTTTATTCGAAGTAAAAAAAAATTGGTCGTAAGTAGGGGGTAATATTCCCTACCTACAATTTCGATATTTGCCTATAAAAACAATCCCATCTTCCATTTTTAGTTACACAGAAAAAAAACGAAACAAGATAGTCAAAAAAAAAAACGAAACAAGATATATAGAGTCAAAAATGTCTCGAGATATTTATGAGCTTCGAAGTTGGATGTATGCACATAAAGATTATGAGGGAAGAGTGACATCAGAGTTCCTCAACGGGGCAGAAATCTTCATGTACCAGGCCGGAAACACGTCTCTCACGAAGGAAACGGATAAAATGTTATGTCCATGCGTTAAGTGCAAGAATACAAAATTCGCTCTTAGTGAAACGGTTTGGAAACATATAGTTAGTAGATAATTTACTCCACATTACTACATTTGGTTTCATCATGGAGAAGGTGATAGTACGAATGAAGCTAGTAGTAGTAATCAGTTTGAAAATATTCGTAATAGAGAACAATATTTACCTTCGGAGGATCAGGTGGTAGATCATGATAGGATGCATGAAATGG